GCATTTGAATTATTTTTTTTTAAAATACAAGCTGCTGTTTCAAACAAAACATACTAATAGAGAAAAGGTAAATAAAAGCAAACCAGCATTTGCCTTTTAACATACCATCATGTTTTTCCAATTGTTTGGCTCTAAACTCAGAAACATGACAGGCTCATGCTGACCTTCAACCCGCGCTGCTGCTGCTTTCCTCTTTTTAGTTACATGAAGTATTCTATCTTTATTGTGATAAGCATTAAACTCTGGAGAAAAACTTCTTTTAATTATAACTACAGTTATAACTTTTTTCCTGCAGTGACTGATCCTCTGAAGCAGAGGACTAGAGTGCAACTTCAGTTGCTTCATATATACATTAGAACGTGACACTGAGGGCAAATTTATCTTCTTGTATTTTGATAAAATTGTAGAATGATAAACAGTGGCAGTCTCCTTTCACGAAGCTTATACAGATGACTATTCAGAAGGAAAAAAAAAATATTACTTACCTGTACAGTAACTGGATTCTTCAAGATGTATTACCTACCCAAATATTGCCATGACCCTCCCTCCCTCTCCTCCCGAGTCCCATATGCATGAGATTCCATGGCAGAGATGGAATTAAACTGGGATAGAGGAGATAGCTCTGCCTTTATGCTCACTGGTGGCAGCACAAAGAAAATGAAAAACCCATTTGACACTGCGGCAGTGCCAAGAGTTCAGGCACAATAAAAATTTTTGCTACCCATACTATGATCCTGTAGTTGATTCATATGCAAAACTCATTCCAATGCATGTGTCTGAAAGCCTGAAAGGAAAAGGAGGTGTGACTGACGCACATTTCTGGGCTTTTTCTTTCACTTCAGGAACGAAGTGGTAAGATGTCCAAGTGATGCATGTTAAAAGGATGTATCAATTTAATCTACCCTGCGTTCATGTGATGCATAATCTGCCATGAAGTTTTATGAAAGTGCATGAAATAGGATATAAGTTTGCACTGAGGCATTTAGGTTCAATTAAATCTGAGGTATCCTGGCAAACTTCTTTATAACTGTGAAGAACTAGACTCACAAAGGTCTTTATGGCCTAATTTCACTCTTTGAATTGGAATTAAGGTGGATTTCTCTAGTTAACTCTTGGGAAAGATTAGTTAACAGTTTGAGGAGGCAAGGAAATGCTTCTTTTAACTGTTAAAAATATTTCTAGGACTAGCCAATCACCTAGGTAGTGAAACATCATTTTCATATAACCCTGTAATTAATGCAACAGCACATTTTGCCTGTGTGCTTTCATAGACCAGAAGGGAAGAATACAGTACTGAAAGTGTTTTGAACTAGGAATCAATTATTTCTTAAACAGTGAAATCATTACATCATTACAAGCACTTATTCCTGTGAACCATTGCTCTTTCTTATCATGTATTTCCTCAAGAAGCCGTAACCTAGATAAAGAACCTAATGATAATGATCTCAGTCCATTCTAGATTGAATAAAACTCTCCCCAGAAGGAAAAATCCTCCTTTGTGAACTGACCTTCTACTAGATAAGCGGAACATGGGAACTCGGGACCATCAGCTGCCTCAAGTACTACTTAAAGCTTCCTCCTGGATACAAACTGTCATTTAGTTATTGATACAACAAATTGTTCACCAACATTTGGAGGCAGCCCATCTACAAATGTTAGGAATTTTTCACAGTTAAAAAATATGAGGGCCTGATTAATTGCGACTCTAAAGTGCATGCTGGTTGTTTAATACAAAAAATTGAAATCTTACTAAGTTTCCTCCATAAAGTTCCCTTGCTTCCTTGTCTTCAGCCATAACCAGTACCAAATGTGAAGAGGAAAATTTGGTTCTACTGTAGTCAGCCCATTACTGAGGACTTCTCGTTTGCCATCTCAGGAGCCTACCAAAAGATGCCAAAAGACTCTTACTAAATTATGGAAGGTAGGTTTCTGCAGTGTTGGTTGAACTACTGCACTGCTGAACCCAGAAGGAAAGATGCTATGCCAAAATCAGAAGGCTACTCTTCAGAAGATGACAATTGATGAAAATAAATCAATTTGTTAATTAATCTCTGCTTTTCTCTGAAAAATACTTGTAAAAACCTGCAGACCTTTTTAAGAAGGTCCTGAAGCTTGAAGGGAACATACAATGTGGTGGTACCAAAAGGTGGTATTCAGTTTCATTTGATTTCAGAAACAATCATAGGGCCTTAAAGCTTAGGTGAGCGTGGTGGATCTCCTTCATTTGATTCCACATGCTGATCAACTACTTCAAGAAGTCTCTGAACAAGAAAAGCATGCAAAATTGTCACTTATAAATGGAGAAATACCTCTTGATGGTATTTCTGACGAGACAATACTTTGACTTAATGGGTTTTCAAGAATACACATTGGGCAAATGCTGAAGGCCAGAACACCATGGTACATAACCCGAATGGTAGTCACAATAGAGTCTAGCTCAAAAAGAGTGTTTGGGGTCCTTGTGCAACTCATCCAAAGGAGATGTCCATGATGGATTGTTTCTCTCTCTGTATTCATTACCATTTGCTGGAGAAGTTGGCTATAAATAAAAAGAGCATGCTGTC